GGGAGCCAGTGGAAAGGGACCCGGTGGCCGAGCTGTGTCATCGAAGGGCATGAGGGACATAGCTGGCAGGGAGAAAGTCCCGTTGAGAAGGGACAGAGATGGCAGGAACAGGCGGAGGCAGACAGAGGAAAGACAGAGGCATGAGGGGGAAAGTTACAGGAAGAACCGGGCAGTGAAACATGAAGAAGAAAAGAGTCTCTAAGTACCTAAGAAATTGATAGAAAACTGCAGGAGAAGTAAAGCACGAATGAAACATGAGAGAAACCAGCTGTGAGCAAAGAGAAACGGGCTGAAGAAATGAGGAGGAAGTGAGCTGGAGCGAAAGTAAAGCAAATAGTGCAGACAAAATGTCTGCCCAGCACCGTTAGGTGCAGCGCCAGGAAGGGGAAAATTGCCAGAGAGCAAAGGGACTCTAGATAAAGCAGCGGAGGGACAGTTGTTCAGTTGAGAAGCCGACCCATCGCCTGGAGAAATAGCTGCAGGTATCTGAGCTGGAACTCAGAGCAGCAAACAGAGACGGCGCAAGGGGATGGCTCCAGACACAACAAACCAGCCTAAGAACAGAGAAGCCGCGAAGGGACCGTAGAGCGGTGGGTTCTGGCCTAGTGCCTTGGACGTTCTAACGCCAGATCCTGGTGCTCCAGGAATGTAAATTGTTGCCCAGGAACTGGGTTGAATTCAGCCAATGGTAGTCTGGTCGGAGCCCAGTGACCTCGTGGAACTGGTGGTATCAGGTGAAGGTCCCAACTCCATGTCACCACTCCCAGCCTCACACCGATCTGGACCCTCAGGAGGTCTTGGCCCCTTTGGGACGTGCAGAGTAGAGGCCCAGATGGGGGTACAGAGTGGGGACGGAGTCACTGGGGGATTCCCAGCCAGGGGGCAATAGCAGCCGCTGGAGTTTCAGGGCCGATGGCTGGGTGCTCGGTTCCCTCCCTCCTCCATCCCAGCAGACGCTTGTTTTCATCCCACAGAGGGAACCAACCCAGCTGGACCCCAGCAGCCGGATCCCCCCACGACGGAGCCAGAGGGAGAAGGTGAGTGGGAGAAATGGAACAATTCATCACCTCGAGGACACGGCTCCTCCCTCAGATGCCCATGGGGCCATTCCGGCCGTTTAGAGGGGGATGGTCCCTGCAGACAGAACTGATGGGTTCAGTTCTTCTAGATAGAGGGTGATGGATAGATCCATGGGGACAGATGGCCATGGGTCCATGGGAATATGGCTCCTTGGGAACATAAGGCATTGGACAGATGGGAGCACGTCTGGTTAGTGATAGAAAGATGGACTAAGACCTTGTCTACGAGTAAACTGGACCCGAAATGACGAATCCCCCGTGTGGTTCCCGACCCCCACTGGTGATCTCAGAGTGAGTCTGGGCTGTCGGAATTAGCTCCCCCTGGTTTGATTCAGCCCCCGGTTGGCAGACAAGCTCCCCTGTAGCTCTATAGACACAGGGACGTTCCTCCCCCGAAATAGGGACAGCCACGCCCAGACCTGCTCCGCAGTGACTCCAGGTGTGAATGGCACCTGACTGGGGCAGGGACCGTCTCTGCGTCGTGTGTCTGTACAGCTCCGAGCACACGGGGGAACTGGCCCCGGTAATTAATACGAGTCAGTAATGATTTTGGTTCTGGTAACCGTGGAGCCAGGCAGGGGCTGTATCTGCGCTTAGGGTCTTGCTGTGCCGGGGAAGAGCCGCCATTGCCGGTTGGTGGGAGGAGACGTTCCCTGTATAACTAACCACAGACACCAGGACACCAGCTTTCTCACCCCCACGCCCCACCCCTGACAGACGCTGGTTCTATTCCTGCAGGAGGAACTGAGCCAGGAACGACGGCGACTCCCACCCACTCAGGCAGCGCGGGGCCAGGTACTGGGGCAGGAAATTGGCATCAACTCCCCCAGAAACAATTTTGTGCTGCCCAAGGAGCCACCTCTGGGGAGAGCCACTAAGGGCTGGCTGTGATAGGGGCAGATCCCCACAGCGAATGCCCCACCTGAAACATCCCCACACACTCATTTCATAGGCTGGGAAGTGTTTCTGGACAGATGCCAGATTGGCTTTGTGGGGGCAGCGCCTCAGAGATCTTCCCCACAACGCACAGCACCACAAAGTGGATCCCACAAATTGGGGTGTGTGGTGCCCAAGGGCACCACAAAGCCTCCTGTGTGGGACACAGCTCGGTGCCTATCTCCCTGGGAGAATGGTGCCAGGGCCGGAGAGCTGGGCATAACGTCCCTGTGTATCCTGTCTCTCTGCCTGAGTCTGCAGACAGCCCGGGCGAATGGCTCAGAAACAGGGCTCCCCCTTCGCTGGAGTGCTGCCCAGGGGGGCATTTACCCTAGAACCTATCAATCCAGACAGGGTTGGTGTTAACACTTGAACCCACAGATTCACAGAGACACATTGTTGATGTTGATTCTGGAACCTAATGATGACTGTTGTGATGACAGCACCGTTACGTCTTCCACTGCTGATCACTTCAGCAGGGCATGGTTCTTCCAATTATCTCAAAGGGCCCTCCCCGGTCAGAAGTCCCCTCCCATTGCCATCCCCCCACCCATATGATTCCTACACAGAAGTGAGCTGAAGCTGCTGAGAAATTCCCAGGACAGGGGCAGGACCCGAGGGTGGGGGTGCTGCAGGATCCGGGCCCAGCTGGCTTCACAGGCATGGGGCCTGAGGTACATCCCCCCCCCCACATACCCTGCCCCCACCCCAGTACGGCCCTCTGCCTTTGGGAGTGAACCACCTGACCACTATTACCCAGAATCCCCTCTGCTCCTGCCCCCCCACTAACCCTGTAGAATGTTCTGCTGTGGGTCCCTGGGTCCTCGAGGGGGAGGGGCTGGGGCAGCAGGTAACGAACCAGCTGCTCACGGCCTGGTGCTGCTTCCCAGGGGGATCGGTACCAAGTGCAGCACCGGTTCTGACCCGCACCATCATCGCCGGGGTGAGCACGGCAGCCGCCGGCCTCCTCCTCCTCCTCCTCCTCCTTCTGGCCTTCGTCTGCTACAGAAGAACCCGAGGAAGTGAGTGCCCCGCCCAGCGAGGGAAGGGTTAAACCCGCTGCTAAGCTGGGCTGGGAAGAGTTCATGGCTTGGATGGGAGACAGCGAAGGAAACCGAGGGGGTGGGGCAGGAGGCGCAGCAGGGGGCGCTCTCCCCTGGCAGTCAGGGCTGGCCCCAGAGCTAATGGGCTGCATGAGGGGACCCTGTGGTTGGGGTCTCAGCAGTGGGCGCTGTGCTGCTGGGGGTGGGGACCTGTCTCTAGGGTATTCATGTTCAGCAGCTGGAGGGCTCAGGGCTCCCCCTGGCAGAGCGGGGGTGGGGAGATTCTGTCCTGGGCCCTCCTTTCCGGCTGCCCTATAGGGCTGAGGGGCAGGGCTGGTACACGGGGATCTGGGTCGGCTCATGGATGATTCTGCTTCATGTCTCTGCAGGGAAAGGACCAGCCCCGAGACAGAGCAGGTGAGACCCCAGCTCCGCTCCCCACCCCCTATCTACTTGCCCCAGGACACAGGACTCCTGGGTTCTCTCCCTGGGTTGGGAGGGGAGTGAGGCCTAATGGATAGATGAGGGGTGCTGGGAGCCAGGACTCCTGGGTTCTGTTACTATCTTTCTCTCTCTTTCTCCCTGTAGGGAGTCCGAGGCTGCAGCCACAGTCTGTAAGTCACACATGAGGGGGCAGCCATGGAGCAGGGGGGAGAGGAGGGTGTCCCCTGGAGGGGGCAGGCGGGCCAGTCTGCGAAGCGCTGAGACGGGGGGTGGGGGTCTGGGCCTGGGACCCTGATCTGGGCCCAGCCCCTCACTGCGGGGGTGTCTCTATTCCACAGATGCCCTCGTGGGTGAACAGAAGCAGCTGGATGTCCTGGTAAGTGCCCCCCACTCCTCGACCGCCCCGCAACACCAATGCAGCATCCAACCTCCTCTCCCCCACACCCCGACCATCTGGCCCTGCACAGGTCCCACTAGAGCCATGGTCTGAAGCCAGCCCCCCTGTGCCCCCTCAGGGACACCAGAGCTGGGGATCAGCAACGGGGATCTGGCGGGAGACCCAGGACACAGAGAATAAGAGCCTGACCCTGCACCCCCCGAACTCACCTTGACCCCCTCAAACCGTCCTCCAAATGTTTGCATTTGTCTGAGATTTGTGGAGGGTCAGCGGAATTCCATGGGGGGCAGGTGCCGGGGGAATTTCCCTGATCTCTGTCCCATGGGGCTCTGTGGGCAAGGGGGTGTTGCTGGATTCCTGGGCGGGGGGCGGGGGGGCAACAGCTCTCCAGAGCCCCCTGCTGGACAGGACAGAGCATGTCAGAGCAACTGTGCATGGGGGGCGAAGGGGCTGTGGGGGGCATCTCTGCCCCCTGGTGGCTGGGATCAGAACTGTCTGGTGGGTGTGGGTGTGGGTGTTAGCACATGTGCACACCCACACCGGTGTCTCTCTCCCCTGCCAGTCCCAGGAGCCCGACCCCAGCACTGACGGACTCACCTACGCTGAGCTGGACCGCCAGGTGCTGCAGGCCAAGCGGGGGGGCCCAGCCCCTGGCCCCGAGCCTGTCCTGTACGCTACCATCAACGTGAGCAGGGGGCCCGATGGGCAGAGCCCCCGGGGTGCAGGGGCGCCCCCCACCA